CTAATGATACAGCATGGTTGCACCGAAAACCAACACCCAAGGAGTCGCTTCGAAGCCAAACCAATGGAAGACCCCATTACCCGACACCAGGGATCTGGAGAAAGCAGTGAATACGGTCAGTGTGCTCATTTATGGAAACAAAAAACTGGATTACTGGTAAAAAATAAAATAAAATAAAAACTACACGACGGAAGAAAGGAGCTGCGTTCAAGACGGAAATGTGCCCACTTGGGCATGACAGGAAGAAAATAAAACGATTAAAGATATAACGACCTTTTTCTGTTTGTTTGCTTTCAAAGGCACTGATTCGAGACTTCGTGTAAACGAACAGACAAAACACGATTATATTTGTTTCTTCTAATAATCAAAAGCTTTTATCCAAATTGATCATGATCAATTATCAAGTAAAGCAAACGCGAAAAAGCTTAAGGTGTGATTTAATGATGCATTCAGGATTTTGCTGAAGCTTTCAAGGTAAACAGTTTTAAGCCGGATCATTGACCGCGGTGATGCGCATTACGCTCCCATCTTTCATGCTGTGCTCATATATTGTAACGTTCGCAAGCTCTCGAGCACCAGACGGTTTGTTCCCACCACGGTTTATTGAGGAGGTACAGAAAACGGGCCGTTAGTCCCGAGGATTGTCCTCCGGTACAACTCACTCTCCAGCTCCCTAACAACAACAACAACAACAACAACAACAACAAGAGCCCCCTCCCATTCCTGCACACACTCAGTGACTTCCTGCAGCACAACCAAATCACGTATCTTAAAAAAAAGACTAAAACTGACATTGAAACAAATAAAAACTAAATTAAAACTAAACCTTTTCAGACAATAAAACTAAGCTGATGTTTAAAGAAATCCAGTCTAAGAGAGGTGATTTCAGTGACTTTGAGCGTTGCATGGTTGTTGGTGTGAGCCACGTTGGTATTTCAGAAATTGCTGAGACTTTGACACACGGATATTTCCAAGGTTTACAGACAACAATCTAAAAAAAGGGAGAAAACATCCAGTGAGAGGCCTTGTTGATGGCAGAGGTCAGAGGAGAATGACCAGGACGCTTTAAGCTGATAGAAAGGTGACAGGAACTCACATGACTGCTCATTACGTCCAACCAACCCGAACGTCCAAGCAGCACAGTCACAGTGACTATTGATGGAGGCCGTCCTCTGCGTCACACTGGATGTTCATATTCCTAAGGTGGTCGTGTGTGTGGTCACCTTACAAGAAGTCCACTATGTGTTTAAGTCACGGTTTTCTCTCGGGGACCAAAGTCTAACATTTTTATGCAGCACAGATGAACTGAATGAATTTCCTTATGAACTGAGTTTCAGCTGCAGGTGTTTCTTCGTCATGTGACACTACGCTGGTTAAAATAGACGCTTTTCTGAACAGTTTCGATGGATGCTGGGGAGCACGTTACCGGTACTTTCTGACCTCGCTCCCGGTCATTTGTGCAGAATGACCAGGAACTGTTGACGTCAACTATGCAACAATTTGTTTTTGTGCTTTATAGAGAAGTTAGGAGAGAAGAGCAGTATATGAGGTACTCATACTGTGATGTGTGTGTTTGTGATATATGTAGAAGCTGGTGGCCCCCGCCATCCAACCCATCCACCCCCACCTCCTCTTTGAGTTACACCTTTGCTTCATTGTAGCTGTGTTTGTTTTTATGACAAATATACACTGAATGATATAAAGACTGGAATTAATACTCAGTTATATTCAACCCAAACTTTTAGGTCTGGTGGCCCTGCACCTCATTGACACCATATTTAATCTATATTTACACTATATAAGGGTTCTTTCTGCAGCATTGAAGGTCCCAAAGAGCATAGAAGTCTACATCAACCATAAGAAGAAGGACTCTCCCTCCTACGGTGTCTCTTATGAATGCCCGGCCAATTTTAGTGATCAGGGTAGAAGGACATTTATCAGGGAGGGATGGTCCCTCAAACAGAGTTCCTGCAGTGCTCTGAGGAGAGAGGAGAACCTTCCAGAAGGACAACAATTTCTGCAGCACTCCACCAATCAGCCCTGTATGGTCGAGTGGCCAGCTGGAAGCCACTCGTCAATAAAAGGCACATGACAGCCCACCTGGAGTTTGTCAAAATGCACCTGAAGGACTCTCAGACCATGAGAAACAAAACTCTTTGGTCTGATGAGATAAAGATTGAACTGTCTGGAGGAAACCAGGCACCGCTCATCACCTGGCCAC